AAAAAAAAAAAAAAAAAAAAAAAAAAAAAAAAAAAAAAAAAAAAAAAAACTTAGAAAGCCAAAATTTTCACTGAAGTTATTCGGTTTTTTTAGTTATGAAATTGTTATACCTGAAACAACAAGACCATGAACCTCAACCACAGCCAAACTATACAAAGTTATAAATCCCATCACTCTCTTTCCTTTCTAACTTTTTTCTTTTGCTTTTTTTTTTTAATTATTATTTATGTGAGCAAGGTGCTTGCATCATGCATGAGTCAGTGCTTGTCAAGCAAGCACCCATTAAAATAAAATAGGAAAAAAATGAAAATATAAAATATACGTAGAAAGACAATGTTGCTTGGCTCGGCAACACAAGACAACTACTAAACCCCATCAAAGATCTATAGAGATACTATAACTTGGAGAAAAAGGCTCTCGATTGCCAAACTCTTATAAATAATCAACAAAACACCAATCCTAGTTCCTACTACCCGACCGGATCAGGTTTAGGCCACACGTACATAAATGTAGAGGTCTCACCTAGAAAATTACGTACTTCAACAGAATTTGCTTATAATATTTAATTTTCATATTTTTTTTTTATTCTAGGCCTTTTTTGTTGTCTTTAGAAACTTAAAAATGACTCATCAGAAAAAGAACTTTTTATTACTATGTGCTCAAAAGAAAAGTCAGTTTGGTCTCTATAACTTTTTAAACACACTATTAACCTTTCCACATGATTATTCGCCAACATGAGGGTCTTATTTTTTAAGTCGCATTTGCATGCATCCAGTGGTAACATAATCATTAGTTTCCATTTCCTATACAAAAAAACATTTTAGTGTTCTGGATCTTATTAGTCAAAACTAATCCGTTTCTACCAGTAAAAAAGATAGATTTATAATATTTGTTCAAATTAATGATGCGAAGTAGGCTGCAAATTCATCCCATGCTAGTAGATTTGGTCTTCCTCCTAACCTTAGGTATATTAGGCATAAAGACAAGATATATTTAAATTTAGAGTTTTATTGGAAAATCTTCATTTATCAATAATTTCAGGGTTATGATTTAAACTAATCTATTATATTTACCGTATTTTTCCCTTGATTTCTGTTATATCTAGATGTGTCTTAAATCTCTATGCATCAGTAATAATCCAGCATTCGTTGGGCATCGTAGACGCTAGTAAAGTTGACATATGTGGGTATGTCTTTTCGGTTTAGGAAAATTTTCTTTTTATAGAAAAAAAAAATCGGGTTTTAAAACTACTATAAATATTCTAAATTAGGTATAAGAGATTGTAAAGTTAAAAATTCACACAATTATATACAAATTCTGAATAGGTATTTGCCTCAATTTTTTTTTTGCTTTCTTTACTTTTTTCGAGTTGATTCGGGAGAATTATTATTTTAAATCAGGGCATTGTATTCCTACACACATATTTGGTTCATCATTTTTAGACTTTAATTCGTATAGCTTAAAAAAACACCGATGAGGGTATTTTTACATATTACAAATTATTTTCGTTGCAATATTTTTTGCACAGATTCTATTTGCTAATGTCTCCCAAATATAAGATATCATAGCCAATTTAATATTCAACGATATATTGAATTAGAAAAATAAAATAATATAAAATACAGCAAGTATAGCTTCTTCCTTTTTTTTTTTTTTTTTGCTTCTCGCTTGCAAATTGGGGATTGCTAATCTTACAACATATAACTTGTAAGAATGATGTCATTCTCATTCACCTTTGACATTTTTTTTTTCTTTTTAGTACAGAGATTTTAGAAATAGTTGCCCACTAAACCTTTTGGTTATGGGTGCTTATGTCTTTATCACGGTAAGCTTACTTCGTCAAGATCATCTAAAGACAAAAACACTTCATCCAAACATGAGAGTTCTATCCCATCATCATCCTCTTCCTCACTGCAGTTTTGTTCATACACCCTGCATATCACCCACTTGCTATAATCCTGCACATAAAGATCCATGCCACACCTAGGTCAATTTCTAATTTTGTGTTCACAAATAAATTTAGTAATTTAGGATTATGAAACAAAAAGGGAAGTTACGGGTTTGTGACTAGAACCACGGCTTGATCTCTTAGAAGATCGACTAGAGGAAGAAGAATCTGGAAGAGAATATTCTTGCATGATCCAGTTAGTCTGAGAATCTCCAAGATAAAAAGTTAAATACTTTTTGATGCCAACTTTCTTGTGTGTGGAGCTTGTGAAGATTGGCTCGTCTATTCCCATTGATCCCCAATAACCATTGCTTGTCACTCTTTCTTGCGTCTTTCTACTATAGAAGTACCATTGCCTCCCTTCTCCCAAAGCTTTCCCTATAAGCATATGTAAGCAAATTTCCGTTTATTCATCATCAATGCTATATAATCTTGAAGTATTATTTAGTGTAAGATAAAATGTCAAAATAGTAAATTATGTGTATTTGTTTTTATACGTGTTTTGGTGTGTGTGTAGTAATATTTGTAAATGATGCGGATCATGAGATCGAATGATTAATATCGGCGCACATGTATATGACTATGAAGAAAGCAATATCAATGATGGTTCACCAAATAATAGATTCCTTCCAAGAGAATAAAAAGAAAATTTATTAGGTAGAGATTGGTACTATTTGTATTTGTGTGTATGGTAAGATTTGGTAACAACAACAATCCTTAAAAAGAGCAACCCAACAAAAGTATACTTCTAAAAAAAATAGACAGATTGGTTACTTAAATTAGTGACAACAATCAATCTATGTTCTGTAAGTTGGATCATCATCACACGTATATATGTCAAACTATACATGCATGTATACGTACGTAGAGTCAATTACGAACGTATTGTATGCATGATACATATATGGAGAGAGATGTGTGAGTGTATATACCGGGAAGGTCCCAAGGATCGTAAGGGTAAAGATCGAGGTCGGGGATGACGTCAGGATGACAAGGCAAGAGTGAGGCTTTGCGCTGGAGGAAGTGGACGACTAGTTCTTCGTCCGTGGGAAAAAACCTGAATCCCGGTGGTAGATTCATTGATAACGATTTTGATCTCACAACTACTTCACATGCACATAAACATATGTGTGGTTACGTGTGTGTGTGTAGGAGAAAAAAATTAAATTATGAAGAGAATAGATATGTAGAGAAGATGATGTGGAATCAGAGGTGGTGTGTGAAAGAAACTGAGGTATATATAGGAGATATAAAAAGGTGGAATTAGGAAGTTGTATATTTTTTTTATACAATATATGGCTTCTTTAATTCACTTGAACACACACATAAGTTAAGACCTTTTATTTATTTTTAAAGATACGTAATTACAAAGGAAATGATAAAGAACAAAACAAAAGAAAATGATGGTACGTAGTAAAGGTGGAGGCAAGTAAGTGCAATGGAACTAAAGAAGAGAGGAGTTATCCATGTCAAATGGGGCATTCGAAAGCTTATTTTTTTCCGAGAAGTCGTCGGCTTAAGTGGGATCTTACAATTTTGGCTGCTGTTTTTATTTTTTTTTCTTTTGGTTAAATACTTTTTGATTTTTTTTTTAAAATGTGTCCTCAAACAAAACTTCGTGTTTCCATAGTTAATAAGAGTATTGAATTCCAGTATTATTATGAATGATATAAGTTTTGTTCCTTACAACATGGTAATTTTTTATTAATGTTTCGAAGAAAAAAACATGGTAATTTTTTTTTGTCAACCACTAAAAAACAACACTTAACAAAATGTTTTTTTAGCTTCTTTTTTTTATTCATTTTGTTGATATCCTTTCAAGTAACTGCACATAGATAGATACATATAAAAAGTTACAAAACAGAACATAACATTTCAACAACGCAGTAGAGCCTTACAAAAGATTTACACATGTGAAATTAGTTAATGAATTAATCCTTCAATAAATAAATAAAAATAGAGGCAGACGGAAATGATAGTGTATTAGATCATCTCTAATGAAACTCTATTTTCTTCTCTATATATTCCTCTAAGATAAAAAAAAATTCTATTATAAAAGTTGATTTAAAATATTACTTTATAATAAAATTATTCTATTATAAAAGAGAATATAGAAGAAGGATAATAAAATTATTTTATTTAAAATAAATATAGAAGAAAATATAAAATTCCATTGAAAATGTCAGGTATGCAAGATTTTGGATACTTCCAACGGAAAAGGGCATCTTCTTTCTTCTACTCCACCACCACTAAGAAGAAAATTCTTATCCATTTCATGTTTGTCTCACTATATTTTTATACTTATAATGGTTTATGTTGAAATATATTCTTTCTGAAAAAAAACTATACAAATAAAATTAAACTGAGTTAAATAAAAACAGCTTTATTATGTACTTCCTCTTCAAATTGTGGTTGAGTATATGGTTTTCGTGGGGATTTTTACCACCTGAGATAACACTTTGGCATGCAAAGTCGATGCCATAGTATACCAACCATTGAGCTATATACCTGTGTGATTACTATGATGTCACAGTTTATCTAACATGCTAAGTTAATACATGATAACAAACAATGTACTTGATTTTTCAATTTGGTAAACACCAACCAGAAATACATTTCTTCACTGTCTTACGGGTCAGTTTTCTATTTTACTAATGTAGCTCGCTGTTTACGCCAAACACAATTAGCTGCAAACCAAAACAGTCTGCTTCATTGATGCTTATTGAAAAGAAAAAGATTTGGAGGAGGATTTTCCGAGGTTGAGGAGGAGGATAAACACTTCATGCTGAGATCATGCTTTCGCAATTACCCACGTGGCGGATATGAGAATGGGTTTGGTCGTCAACCATAAGTTTATGGGACACACACTCTTCACTTTGAGATTTTGTACCTTTGTATGTACCCAATACTCTCCATTATTAAACTCTATGCTATTTTTTTAATGAATTTTAAGATATTTTATGTTACAATATAATAGTACAAGTATTTTATTTCGCTACAAATATAATCTGTTGACAAACAACCTTTTTACAAATATTTTACAAATATAACACTTACATTTATATGAACTTTGGATATTGATAGCTCTTAAATCATGATTTTAATTCAAAATATATAAAATATTTAAGTATGCATGAAGAAAACTTCAACATTGATCAATCTATCTCATATGCAGTCCCCCTCAAGTAGCAATCAGTGGCTTTTGTTATAAAATTGAGATCCACACAAACTCAAAGACTGCCCAAAAGATTTGTTAGAGTTCAATTCATTTCTTAGCTTAGGACCCACTCTTCTCTCTTAAAATAATTGATACTCTACTCTTATTTGCTTACAAAGTTGAGTATTATAATTATTATTGTTTACTATTAATAATTTTAAAACTTACTAAGCAATTTATCAGATGAATTAAAAAAGAAGAGAGCATAGCAGTAGGCATGCATCCCCAATGAATAGGAAGAGTGTGTGGGTGCTCTCCTCAACTTTGCTTCAGTTCTCTCCAAAGTTTTAAAATTATATGTTTTCTATATAAAATGTGGCATTAGTATTATTATGAAGGGTCGAATAGTCATTGAGGGTTTGGGAATTTGGGATGGTCTATTGCTTACGCTTACGCACGCACATGCCCACGCCACACGCGTGATCAAGAGATCTTTGTTCTTCTTTAGTTTGGCCTCGTTAAGTATCAATCAGTATATATTTTTATATATTTAATAAGGCTATAGTAATTATATGTTATAGTATTAATTAATGTTTGCATTTCTTATATTAATGAATTAAAACATTTCGGAAATTGGAATAATAAGGTAAATATTTGGTGATTCGAAAAGTATATTAAACATACAATGAATTGAATTTAAGTTCATTTAGATTATCGTGGATGGATCGACTAATTAAGTAATGTTTTATTGAGAAAAAAAAAACTGGATTTTACCAGACTCGGATATAAAACAGTACATTAGTTATACAACTGGATCGTTTACTAAAACAAAGAAGCCATTTTAAAAAAAAAAGTTTTAAAGTGATCTTATTCCAATAGTCATAGACTAAGATCTCATAAGCAAATGGGGTCATATAAGATTAGTGGTAGTGGTCTCATCTAAAATCACACCCTAGAAACAAATCAGATTTAATTAAACATATATAAAATATAATAACAATTTTGGAGGAAAACCCACCACTAAGATTGATGAATGTATGAAGAGTCATACGATCATGCTAACAAGTTTCTTTTTGTTATAAATTAATATGTTTAGTCTCTTTTTAAAAGCTGTTGAGCTCAAAATATTAGAAAAGTAATTAGATTTGTAAACTAGCGATTGCAAAGATAAGACTCAACAACACAAGCAAAGAAACAAAAAACTACTAGGATCTAAACAAATATGACAAATAAAAAGGTGTACTAATTGTCGTCAATTAACAGGGACTGGACTACGTGGTGTTAATGATGGACAAGTGTGAAAATTTGTACTAACCAACAAAAGAAAACAACAGAAGCAATGAATCAGATCAAACTTTGCGATATTAACAATAATAAAGAAAGCCTTTATCTAATTAAGCTTTTAATTAATGGATGAGAGAAGAGATTGGATATAGTTTCCACTAATTCTTTGCGTGCAGTAGACGTAACCATCAGACACATGGAAGTTAGGCAAAAGTCAAAGTCAAACTCGTCAAGGCCTTTCATACTCACATGCCCACATCTTGTGTTAAACTATTCTTTTTTTTAACAAAATGCTTCGTTCTTGTAATAAATACGATTACTAATTAACAAATAAACACTAATTATTTGAAAAGAAAGGATAAAGATAGATATGGATACATATGGAATAAGCATAATTTTTAGTTTCACATCACACATCATATCCAACACATAAAAAACTTTTCAGTGGAAGAAGTACTAAGAACATGATTCAGATTTTTAAATTAACAAGTTTAAATTTTTGTTACTATTGTTTTATCTCATCAAGTATCCAAAGGATTTGACTACTCCCACTCCTAGTAAGACCTAATTATTACATCAAACAATAATCATTTCTAAATCCAAGTTTATCATACTAATCTTCCATGAGATGGAGATTAAGAAACAAGAAGGCTATAACATGATTTGTCAAAAAAGAAGAAGGATATAACATGAGACAGGACTGTTATCTGATAAACTCTAAGATATAGTTTTCTTCCAGAAAGAAAAGATAAATGTGGTGAAAACAAGATATCATAATATGTGAAAAGAAAAGTACTCACCATTAACCGATGACTGTATAATAAAACAGAGTCCAAAAGCAAAGATGCTATTATATGATAATTTGAAATTGATGTCGAGAAAACTTTAACACGACTCCTAGTGCTAAGTCCTGAGAAGTTGATGTCCCATTAAGAAGAGAAATCACTTTCCAGTTTCTGAGAAGTTAACAACAGTTAAAAAAAGTCATGTCTTTCTAGGAATGAGGTAATAAAGTAACACGTGCAGTTGAAACTTCAAGTCTTTGATGTCAAATCATGAGAAAAGATTTTGACAGTTTTAGAAAGATATTACATTCCAGTTCCAATCCAAAACGTGTGTATGTATGTGTAATTTTCTTTCTTTTTATATCTAAGATAAGATTGCCAAATACTGTAACCATAACCTAATCAAGTACAGTAAAATCTCTATAAATTAGTAATGTTGGGACTTTAAAATTTTATTAATTTATAGAGATATTATTTACCAAAATTTTCTTTTTTTAGATTTTTGTATTTTTATTTATAAAATAAGAAAATAGTTGATTTTAAAGTATTTACATTATTTAAATTTTAGAAATTGGACTTTCATATTGTTTTATTATCTTATCTGGTCTATATTTTATTATGTTTTGTCGAATTGTTATGTGGTTTTGGTTTTTGGATACAGTTTTACTAAATATTACCAAAATATATTGAAAGGTTACGAAAAATAGAGGTATTTTCATTTTGAATATAACATCAACAATATAATGTTTAGTTTGTATTTATATATTTACATGGGAGTTTTAAAAATATTATTATCTTATTATTTTATCGATTTGTGTCATATATTACACCGGTTCAAGTTAGGATCAGCGAAATTTATTAATTTATAGAGAATATTAATTATCGAGTATTAATTTATAGATGTTCTACTGTAACAAGGATAAAAAAATGAAAGACACATTTACCTTTAAATATTTACTTTTTCTATCCATTTTTTCTCTCTTTCTAATACTAGTAAATAAAATAAACTATGCATTAACTTTAGCTAATTGCTGCCACACAAAAGATATGATAGCAGCCTCTATATGGGCCTTTGCGGATTATAATATTGGCCGAAGAGAGAAGTTACAATTCGCCTTATACGGGCCCAGAAATGAAACATACTTGAGGCCTTATATGAGCCTTATTAACCTTATTTTGTTTGAGTTAAACCCAACATTCCTAAAAAGTTTTTTTTTCTGTAGTTTCAAGCTGATGGCCAGAGGCTTCTATAGCTTTGACATCGACTTGTTTAGTTCGTTTTGCTTTTATCTCTTTGATTTACTTTCTTTCTGGTTATTTGATTTATTTGTTTGCCAATTTATTTAATCGAAGTTTTTGTTTTTCAAATCCATTAGAATAATTGTTTAGAAAAAGTAATTGACACATCTAGTGTAGATGGTGCGACATGTCTTATCGGCTTCAATCGTTGATGGTTCTTTATTTGATGGTGATGAAGTTCTTGTTGCAAACTATGGTTACTTGTCAACAGAAAAATCTATAGAACGGTAATCTTTTTGACTATATTATCATCCGAGCAATATAAAGAGTTGTCTTTTCTCACTGGCTCCTACAGAAGTACTAAGAAGAAAGTAGCAATAGTTCTCAACTAAGTCTTAAGCGTAGTATTTCTAGATTAAAACAAAGATTCTCTTTTGTGATTTAAATATTCTAGAAGCAAATTTGAAATTTTTACATGAAAATCTTTAGAAAATATTTTCTCTTTTTAAATATTTTCTCTTTTTTTTCTTCTACATAGACTTCTAGAATTGTTACTAATGTTCAGAAAAACATTTATGTAAACTCAGTGTCAGACCTAGAGGAGCTCTTTGGGAGGCTATGGACACAGTGTCAGGAATGCCAAGGCTCTCTTCACCAAGATGCCTTGTGCACCAGGTTTTGCTTTTATATTTTTCGACATCTGCATTACTTCGGCTAGACATAGCCAGCATCCCACGCTTTCTAGAGTTCGAGTCTTCGCTCTACATAAACCAAACATTGTTAATCAAATATCTTGACAAAGATTAACAAATAACTAACAAAAGAGCACTTACCTCAGATAACATGGACTCAAATTTCTTCAAGTCATCCTCGTACATTGACTCAGGTGAGGAGTTAGTCCAGTAATCTAACTCTTGATTTTTCTTTGCAAGTTTGTTTTTTTAACTCAATAAGCTGATCTGCAGTTAGAGACAGCCTCTAAGAACTTCTCGTCACCACTTCTTAGTTTTTTCATGATTTCAGACACAAATGTCACCACTAGTGAGACTTCTTCTATGAACTGAATTTTTCTTTGGAGTTCTTCTATCTCCCTTTCCAGAGTCTCCACCTTCTATGACATACACTTATATCTCGTTTTGTCACAAAAGATAATTTCAATTGTCTGAAAGTTAGACATACCTGTCTGGTCAAATAGCGTTCCAGTCTCTCTGGGTAAAAATCATATATAACTGCAAGGTAAAATGCTGAATTAGCATATACCGAACAAATAGAATGGTATAAACAATTTGGATGATATTCACTTACTAGCTTCAGGGGTGTTGTATTTTTTTAATCTTTGTTTCAAGTTTGAATAAGGAGGTGCATATTGGTGGTTGTAATCTTTGTTTCAAGTTTAAATTTCTTTAAATAACCCCCTTGTCGAGCCTCCTCCTTGTGCTTTTCACTCAATATTACATTAAACACCATTGATGAACCATCGTTGTGCACGTCAACATCCTGCGTAAAGAAGAAGTTAGCTAAATTATAGTGAAGCTATAACACTTCCACAGTTTCAGACTGAACAAGCATTTACCTCGATAAGAGGGTCACCATTCTTTGCCTTTAGTGCAAGCAAGATCCTCTTATAATCATCACCCCACAACCCAATAGGTAACACCGAAATTTGAACGGTGTTACCTTTACCATCAGCACACTTACCATAGGATGTGTACACGCCTTCTCTTGTTTTTTTAATCTCTCCATCAAAGTCTCGATACCAAGGCACCATAGGCTCCATTTCTTCATTTTTGATTCTACGCCTTATAGTGGCAATAAGGTCTCGTGGGTTATATGGTGGTATGGAAGTGCTAAACCCTGAACCAAGACCTCTTGCTCCATTCAACAAGACGTATGGAATAATTGGATAATAGCTAACAAACAAATTACTAAGTTAGATGTCTTATAAAAATTAAGCAAATAGCCTGTTTGGGTATATGAATTACCATTTTGGCTCCAGACTTCGCCCATATTCCATCTTGTACTTAAGCAGACCATCATCAGCTTCGGGAAACAAGAGCCTTGCCACTGGTTTGAGCTTAGTATGCAAATACCTCTCGTTTTCTGCATCCTTTCCTCCCTTAAGAGAACAATCATGAAAACACAATCATAAGACGAGAGAATATGTAAATATGTTTAAACTGTTTTTCAAACTATTCTTACCGAAGCACTTGTGCCAAACTGTCCAGATGGCTCAAATAAATTCACATTGTTCCGACCAATGAAATCCTGAGCCATGCGTATTAGAACATTGGAAATGCACTTCCTACTGTGGTGATATGCTGAGTGTTGTGATACTAGGCTGGAAAACTCATCAAGAGGGGTAAGGTCAGTGAGATCTATCTTGAATGCAATAAACAGAATCTTCCTCTCAACTGAATTTGAGCCCATCGGTGGTAGTGGGAATAGATCTCCGGAGATTCTCTATCAGGGCCGTCTAATAGCATGGGTAAGTGGAGCGGTTGAACATGGCCCCAAATATAAAAATAAAAAATAAGGAAAAAATAAGGAAAAATTAAGAATTTTTGAGAAATATATAGATAAATTATGATATTTTAAAAACAAATTTAGATATATTGCTAAATTAGAACTTATAATTTTAAGGAAACATCAAATATAGTTATTAACTTTTTTAAAAAAATTATTAAATCATAAATATATCATTAATTTTTTTTGAACAAAGTCTAAAATTTATTTGAGACGGTCATGTTCTCTATGGTAAACAAAATAAGCTCCTTATCTTTGTACGTAATTTCCTTTCCTCTCGGTCCACTCTGTATACAAATCATCTCGGGTATAGTTCTGAATCCATTTTTTTTCTTTTTCCCGGATCGCCTCCAAATGCTAATTTTATTGCCTCACCATCAGCATTATCTTCCCACACAAAATTTCTTAGGTGGCTATCAATTTGATGAAAGTACATCATTCCTTCCTGGAAAGTACTTGAACCTCCTAACCCCTATAGAGAAATAGAGACAACTTATATGGAGAGAAAACCATGGGAACTCAGCGATCTTCTATTTTTTACAAGGGAAATCAAACCTTAGCGACTATTGAGGCTAAGTTTGTTGCTCTCATTCCCAAGATTCCGACTAGGACCTTCTCTCTCCTCAGATTTTGCAAGAGATTTGAAGAAGAAGAAGAAAGATTGCTCGTGGCTTATGTTGAAATGTCGGATCCGAGGCTGCAAAGAGTCAACTTCAACCGACTACCCTCTGAAATACTCTTGGAGAAGTTGGGAAAAGATTCCACCAGGGTAACCTGGATGGAACACAACCGAAATATTTAAATAAATATTATATCTAAGATACATACATGTTTGTTACTAACTCTCTCTCTATGCCAAATCAGTCTTTATTTTCTTATGCATAACTAATATAACCACATAACATGCATGTTTATTTTTTTGTAAAATCTTATTTAAAATATATATAATTCAGTTTAGAAAAGCTTAGACTAGCAAATGATATGAAAACAAAAACTTTTTTCTTTTTAAATTCGGGATTAGCTTGGGAAAAAATATAAAAAAAATAATACCAATATTTTGATTTGATTTTCAAAGATAGTTTGATAAAAAAATTTTGATTAACAAAATTTGTGCACAATTTCGAAAATGGTAAAAATAAGTTTACCTAAGAAAGAAACATGTAATTGTGAAGAATTGTGATAAAACAGTAGTACACAAATGAAACCAAAGATAGTTAATAAAATTTATAAACCAATACTGTAATTTACCATTTGTACTTTAACGTAATCATTAATTTGTTTAAGTTTAGTATGCAGTTTGGTGGAAAAGTTGCAAAGTCCATATGCCATATGGATGAGCCCAACAATAATTGGCTTTATTAAACCTATTTATGCTAAACTAAAATCTATTTAAAAAAAAATAAACCAGTGACTAATCACTGGAACTATCAAGAAAAAAAAAACAGAAAATTGCTTATTCCCCTAAGAATTAGTCAACCTTTGTTTATTCATACACGAATTATTGATCAATGCCATATAACCCATAAATTAGTTAAAATTTTGAATTATAAACTTAATATCATCACAAACACAGTAAAATCAATTACTCTCCCATATTCAAACTTAATATTTTTGAGTTTCCAATTCATTTCTCTAAGCTATCTTTTCTATTTCTCATCTTTGTAAATCAATTTGTGTAATGCTCTCTTGAGACATCTTTAGACATACTTACAGATAAGTGTCACAAAGCCTTTATCATAATATCATGTGTTATTATCACCACCCAAAAAGAGTTGTATTTACAAGCAGCAGTGAAGTATATAACAAACATTCACTTCTTCTGCAGATACTGTTAGTAAAGCAAAAAAACAAAGTCATTATTATACTTTCTCATGAAACAACAACTATGTGTCACATGATTTTTACAAGGTGAAAGGGCTTGGAGGAGGCTGAACTATAGGAACTTTCGACATGGTTACATTCCCAGTAATCACATTCTGTGCAACCGTATCCTCCAATGGCATAGGATCAACCCTGACCACATTCTCTGGCACAACCTTGTCACCATCAACTTTAGCAAGAACCTCAAAATGCATTCTCATTGTTTTGGGTTTCGTTCTCCACTCTGGAAACCCTAATCCTTCAATATCACTCTCCCTCAGCTTCCTCTCTACACCAAAACCAATCTTCATAAACGTTTGAGCTGCAACATCTGCTTTCAACACCTTAAAAGAACCTTCCTCCTGAGCTTTAGGTCCTAAGACAGAAGTCAACAGCTTCTCAAAGCCGAGTAAGTGAGCGTTTGAGCCATTGATTGATGTAATCGGCCACATGGTTGTGAACTCTCTTGGCGTGAGGACAGTAGTGGTAACACCATCAATGGTTGAGACACTTCTACTTTTGTCTTTAGACATGGAAGATAGCTCCACAAGTCCAGGCGCAAGGCGCTTAAGCTTGAGTTTGCTCTCAGGAGAGTGTGAGGTTGATGCAAGAGAAGTGGGACCAACAATGCGGAGAGAGAGAAGTGGAGTTTCTTGATCAGTTGAGGAAGCGCCACGTCGAAGCTGCTCAGCTAAAGAGAGTAGACCAGAGGCAAACTCATTGGAACTTTGGTTTAATGGAAGTGGCAAATCAATAGGGTGACGCAAACTAACTGATCTAGCTCCTTTCACAGTTACAACAGCACCTTCTCCTAATATCACTTTCTTCAAAACACCAGCATCCACATCATACTGCATATTTCCGACAAGAACAATCAATAAACAAAACCAATGTTCAAAAAATCAACAAGCTACTAGAAGGATTATTCGGGACAGCCTAATTGTTAGTCCTTACGTTTCATTTTACTTTTCGTTTTAGTTTTTTGCACACAGATTAAGTAAATATTTAATTTTACATATTTTCAAAATAAAAACACAATTAACTATACACCTAACCATTTTTCAACCAATAAAAAGTAGAAAAATATATATTTCAACCAATGAAAAGTAAAAAAGAAAAATATAACATTAATAAATTTTGCATCGAAATTATAAACAACATATGTTTTGAAACAAAATTTTTCTCTACATGAAAGAGGGAGTAACAAATTATTGATTTATTTTTATGTATCTTACATTTATATAATTTTTTTTTTTTAGATTTAGTTATAAAACTATTTCAATGAATTATCAAAATTAGATATACAAAACAAAAAATAATTAAGAAATTTGTGGATTATTAACAATGTTGCTTAATTTAACAAATCCATTTTAACAAGTTTAAATCGATTTGAATTGTATAAACCAAATTTTAAGAAACGTGTTTCAGCTATAATCGACCTCTCTAGGCAACAACTAGACCCAATTTTGGAACCATAAACAAAACAATATAAAATCAATAGCTAAATCATTTTACTTACAGGCAATGAAAGACGCATATCATTTGCATCTTGGATCCAAAGTTCCATGGGGCCAGCAAGCTGAAACGGAGCTAAAACAGGTGAAACATCACCAGACTTCTTCTTCTTCTCGTCACTCATAGGAACCAAACCATTCTCATCCACACCTCCATTAGGTTGCTCCACTTGGAAAATAGGGAGATCAACGTACTCCCATCGGTTTACATCTTCAAGAAGCTTGATGGGGAGAACCTTCTTGTCAATCTCAAGATCAAACTCGTATGAGACAGCATGGCCTACCAATGCATCCCTCACATCAAAACCAGAGATCTTGACTTCTTCTGATTGGAACCCAAGTCCCTTCACAATTGCTTCCTTCAAATCCTAACGAAACGTGTACACCAAGAAAAAGAGATCAACTTTTCTATTCTATAAAGATTTTTAAAAAAAAACAAACTTTTTATGAGTTTGTTAGGGTTTTGAGCTCAATTGATCATCAAAATCACAAAAAGGTTATGACTTTGGGAGAATTAATCACAAACCCAGAAACCCAAAACAGTAAAAGGGATCAATTTTCCTATATAAGAGACTAAAAAGACAAAAAATTGATGAATTTGTTAGGGTTTTGAGCTCAATTGATCATCAAAAACACAAAAAGGTTATGGCTTTCAGATAATCAATCAAAAACCCAGAAACCCAAATAGTAAAAGGGATCAACTTTCCTATGGTAAGAGACTAAAAAGACGAAATTCATCAAAATTTGTTAGGGTTTTGAATTCAATTGATCATCAAAATCACAAAAAGGTTATGACTTTCAGAGAATCAATCAAAAACCCAGAAACCCAAAACAGTAAAAGGAATCAACTTTCCAATTCTAAGAGTCTAAAAAGACAAACTTTTGATAAAAATTTGTTAAGGTTTTGAACTCAATTGATCATCAATAAAGGTTATGACTTTAACAGAATTAATCAGAATTCTACAAACCCAAGACACAGTAAAAGAAGATAAAAGCATCTTACAGAGATGGCTTTAGGGTAATGATGATTAGCTTCAGGAGAAGAAACCAAAGCTCTTGAAGATGGTAACGTTGTGAACAGAATCAGAAACAGAGCTCCGACAAAAAGCAACGATCTGCGACCCATCATGGAATGTAATAAAAAAAGAAGATGTCAGAACCTCGAGGTTATATAATTACAAGACCAGTGCAAAATTAGAAGGGAACTTGGATGATTTTTTTTTTTTTTTGGTGTCTGGTTATTTTCGAATGAGAAGGGTGTGGATGATTCTGGAGACCTTTTAAAACGGCGTGTTCTCGAGGGAGGGGATGATGACGTGTACGTAAGTAACCAATAAGAATGAAGGAAGTGATGTGGCGCGAGATTATAAGATGAGTGACGTGGAAACGGTTATTTTAAACGACGTCGTTTGAAGTTTGAATTAAAAAAAATAAAAAAGAGAATGGCTTCGCCCGGGTTCGAACCGGAGACCTTCAGTGTGTTAGACTGACGTGATAACCAACTACACCACGAAACCCTTGCTTGTTTGTTTCGCACTAAGTTACTACACGTACTTGTTACCAAATTAACTATTAACTGGTGGGAGTTTCAACATTACTACAAGTGTGGATTTGAGCATAACACAATAAAAGAACAAGTGGGTACTATACAACTTGAAGGTAATTTGTTTATGTTTATACAACAAAGTAGAGAAAAGAGATGACTAAACCATACATAGATTTTGATTCTTAGTACACAGTGACATTGTTAGTTTCTTTTGTTGTTGTTGTCTCATGCTTCCTCGAGAAGAGGTGCAACGGCTGATTCTCTGGTCACTGCATCAGGCTCTGAATCTTCGTTATAACGATCCACACTGTTTAGGAAGATCCCTGTAGAGTCACAAACACAGTAAAACTAAATTACTTTCCCATATTCAAACTTAAAAAGAGTATATGTGGCTAAGAAACCGAACCTATGAACCAAATTGCCGCAGCTGGAAAGAGGACAAATGTAAGAACAAGAGCAGTCACTCTCCAGTTGTGCACATAGTCCTGCATGAGAGGCACAAATGAGACTAATACAGTGATGGCTAAAACCAAGGCTTATGGATACAGCTGAGAAACTAAACCTGAAGAACTCCAACGAGTGGTGAGGAAGGAACATCTCCAAAGATGTGGATAGAGACAGTAGACATGGCCATTGCAAGTGGTCTCAAACTTGGTTTCACACAATGGAGAACTATGAAATTCACAGGACCCTTAAAAACATAATGAAGTAGATTTGTAAGACATGGAAGAATCAAGTATTTGAATAGTAGAAACCGAGAGATTACCTGTGTGGCAAAGACGAGAAGTTCACCAACAGCAAAGAGAGCTAGAAACGCATACATGCTCTTGAAACAGAAAGCAACAAAGCAGAACAACCCTCCTATAAATGTTGAAACTGATAGAAGCTGCAAAAAAATACATAAACACATTCTTGGTTTAGAATTTTAGATTAGTTTCTCTTATAAGTGAGGATAGTTTTACCTTGAAAGCATTTGAGATTGTAGCATCCATGAAATCTAAGACAAATCCTCCTGACAATGTGCCAACGATTCCACAGATAACTGTTATCCCTCCAAATATCATATCAGCGTTTTCCTGCAAGCAAAACGGATAAAAACATTACTTTTCACACATGGAGACGAAAACCTTCTTGTGATTTATTACCATTTTGTATATGTTATAACCAGCCTTTGGACCCCAATAAGAATATGCGCCTAAGACAAAGTTGTAAGCAATATACCCTAAACACAAAGAAAGAAAACAGTTACAGGTGAAAGCAACAATCATACAACCACACAAATGATTAAACACTAGAAGGAAGAGAAATGGTTACCGAGAATGTTTGTAACATAAACCTTATCTACCAAAAGTAGTTTCAAATCTTTCAAGACAGCTGAGAACCCATAACCAGTTGGCAAAACGTTTAAGTTATCTGTCCGGTTTTTTCCTTTATCATCCGGAGCGAAACCTGAAGAGGTACCAGACACAAGACTCATAAGAAAGAGTATGAGCAACATAGTGTGTATGTTTTGCAACTTCGAAGACGCACCTTTCAAGTGTAAGGGTTTGATAACGAAACCTAGAATAGCAAAAGGAAGCATAAGTATAGCTTCTCCCCAAAATGCAGCACGCCAAGGAAGAACACTCCCTATCTACAAGAAAAAGGAAAGAGTGCAATTGAGGTCACTGGCAAAACCGTTTAGTAAGAGTATCGTTTAATAACTCACCAGTCCACCATATACATAGCCAAGAGCATATCCTGTTGGAATACACATGTAGAACATAGCAAGCCACGCTGATTTCTGGTTAAAACAAAAAAAGTGAATGATAAGACAATAGAAGAGCTTAGTTAAATTATTACCATACTTTTTCTGTTCTACAATAATGGATGCAGTGAAGATATACATTCCAGAAGCAACTAACTACCTGAGCTTGAGGGGCATTATCGTCGATAAATGGAGCAGCGAGGCTTACAAATGATGCTTCACCAACACCAACAAACCTGAAAAGGTGACAAAGGTAAGTATATGTATAAGATTTTAAAAATAATAATAGGATAGGAAAGAGACATAACTGAAAGGTAGATAGAAACTACACTTACATTCGACAGAAAGTGATGGACCAGAAATCAAAGGATAACCCGCAGCCAATCACAGCCACAGTCCAGATCGATAACCCAATTCCAATAAGTCGAAACGGATTAACACTGCAAACACAGAGCTTTTAAAGATAATGAAATCTATATTCAAATTCAATAATAATGATTCCTTTGAACTCAGAACTTTGTGGGAAACAAGTACACACCTCTTTGCAACAGAAGCAAAGATTGGAGAGGCGACAAGAAGCCCAACCATGAAAGCAGATGACAAAATTCCATCTTCAAAATTGCTCAAGTTGAAATCACCCCTGCGTAGGACAACCATGGACATTTATTATAAACCAAGACAGCCAAGAACCCAATCCTGTTTTCACACTATATTCTAACATTCTTAATGTATATGACAGATGAGATCAGTTCGAGCTTAAATCAAAATTCGATCAAAAGAGTCACAAGTAATCTTACTGTATTCCGCTCCCAGCTGAGCATGTACCAGTAGAGGTACAAGAACCACGACTCCCATTGACACCATTACTAGCTATAGCTCCTCGATCAATATAATTGATCAAGTTGACTACACAAAACACAAAGAGAAGCCTGCAGAGAAAAACACCAAAGAATGAGACTTAAACAATGATAAGTAAATAAAAAAACACTCATCAATCAAACAGCTGTCTTGCTTTTAAGAATCTAGAGTGTATATATGCAAGATTTGTGAAGTTTTGTATTATGAGTTAAATTGTCTAAAATCTTAGTTTCTATAACAGTAGAGTTGATGGAAGCATAGAATCATTAAACCCGAACTATTTGAATAACAATGAACTTTATGAGTTACTAAAGTATCATAAAACCAATAACACTAAATTTTATTAAGAATCTTAGAATCCATTAACCAATAACAATAGAACTAGAGAATTTAAACAATCATTATAAACTCACACTCCACTAACACCCTCTAAAGAGTTTATCAAGCAAACAACAAGTTGCAATCTTCATATACCTTAAACCTTAACCTTAACCCAGAGTTTGATCATACAAAACTATAAAAAAAGAAAGTAGACTGCTTTCAATCAAAAACATGATCGATCCTTAAAAATGTACAGAACACTTCCTTAAATATAACCAATTTGTAGATTGAAATCGAGAAGTCAAAGCTTTCTACTTTATTGAGATGATGAAGTCAAAGTTTCTACCTTTCGCCCCAAATTGTATGTTGGACCTAAGAAATATAGAGAATGAAGAAACAAAGAAGAGAAGAGAAGGGAAGATTACTTTTTGGGAGAGAACCATGAAGGCTCTGCGATCTTATCATCTGAATCTCTCTCCATAGTTGTTCTAGGAGGGTTTTGTCCCCGATCAACTCCTCCTCCTCCTCCGTCTGCAACATCCATGTGATGGGAGGAAGATGCGAATTTTGGATATTCCAGGAGGGTATTCTTGTAATATAACTGAATTCAACGGCAAGATATATACAAGTCGGTCTTCTCACGTTTTGATTGTTTTTCCCTTCTTATCTACTTATTAATTTTTTTTTTACTAAAATTATTATTCTTTACTCCCTCTGTTTTAATATAAGTGTCACTCTACAGCTATGCACACGGATTAAGGAAACACTTAATTTTACATATTTTCTATATAAAAACACAATTACCCACACACCTAACCATATTTTAACCAATAGAAAAACAAATTACATAAGAAAATTAATAAATTTTGCATTGAAAATCGAAAACGACACTTATTTTGTAACACAAAAAATTCTCTACAACGACACTTAATATAAAACGGAGGGAGTATAAGTTTTGTTATTTCAATCATGTCGCTCACATTTCTGAATTTTTTTTCATATCATTAATTAGGAAGAAAACAATGGAAATTAGAAACATAGTGGTGACTTATTATTCTTTTGAAGAATTACTAGAAGGTTTAGTTGAAACTGAGCTGTTTATTTGCTCATATGTGCCTTTGGAACTAAGAGACATGAGAGTTATACTGTATTTGCCAAGAGATGATAGGTAGATACTCCTTTCATCTCAGACCATTTCACCATAGACCTGTGTCACTTCTCTCTCAAACGTTATCTCATTTGAAAACGTTCTTCTTCATCTTAACTAATACTCTTCTCATGCATCGACAACAGAAAATCAAAGTGGAAACTGTTTTGGAGTACTAGTTTATTGTGATACACAAACAATCTCATCATCAACAACTAACCTTACCCATTTAGTTCCTTCTCTATGATAATGATTAACAACAAAAACCATCTCAGACGGATTTCTTGCAGAATGAAACATTTTATATACATTTTTTTATATAAAATGATCACCCACTTTGCTCAATACCTGTGTTCTTCTTAATGTATAAACTAGTTCTTGTTTTAGATTTCAGCTCAACAGACAAAATAACACACTAAACCTTAAGTACTATGTGAATCTAGTAAGCATGATCAGATATGCAACAAAAGCTGTCATCTTTACTGAAAAATATTCAAAATAAAAACATAATTTATAAGAAAAGATTGAAGAAGCTTTTACTCAAATCCTATGATTCTCTTCAAACCAGGAAACAACCCAGAAAACGAAGACATGGAAGAAGAAGTATTAGAAGACTCGTTTGTTTTGTCAGAAACCAAACACTCTTCCTCCACCATTTCCTTAACAGATCTAACAGACAAAGGCTGAAAATCAACACCCCACTCATCCACAAACTCTCTAACCAAAACCACTTTCTCCTCTTCACCAATCTTCCTCCACTTAACCCTCATCTCTTCTTCTTTCAAACCCATATGCTTACAGAACTCTCCCCACAGTATCTCACCGCTCTTCTTCATCGCTTCTCGTCTCTGTTCCGACACAGTGTTCGCCTTCCCGATCTCTCTAGCCAAATCCTTCGCCAGCTCCGTATCGCTCATTATTTTCTTCTTCTTGGCCTTCCTCGTCCTCCTGTTGCTGATGATCCCATCGTCTTCCTCATCCTCTCTCCTTATGCACTGAATCTTGGTTACGGGTCGGGTCAACACACAGCGAGACTCGAGATTCCGGTTAAAGGAAGTGTTTTGAGGAAGAAGATGAAGTAATCTCAGCGACATCTTTCTCCTCTCTCGTCTCTGTCTCTTCTGACCTTTATCCTATAAAAATGAATCCTTTATGCCTTTTATACATGTCTTAAGCCAAAGGTGGAACATTTCACAGTAACAAACTTAGAACTCTATAATATTGAGACATCACAGTTAAATGTCTGTGTCGTGTGAAGGTGTTTTTAATCTTGGAAAAGGAACAGAGAAACCCTACAAAAAATTCATCAAAAATGAATCATTTTTACAGTAAAAAGGTGAATCCTTTTCAGACATATTTTGACTTTCTATGCCTAAGCAAGTCTCTTAGTGTATTCACTCTGTTTTCGTGTTACTGAGAATGAGTTCAGCTAAGATATCGACCCATGTGTCTGGAACACCAGGTAAGCACCAATGCATACAGTCTTGTCCCCATATGGCCACAGCGTCCTGTTTCCCTAACCAGATAGCAGGATGAGCATCTGCTCTGTATTCGCTTAGATGGGTCAGATCAAGTAGCTTGATCTCTGTTGTTCGCAGCTCGTTTTTGATAATTTGATTAAACATTCTTGCTTCTTTGTTCACTCCGTTGTTCCTGGGATCAAACCACAAGTCAAGCTGTCTAGGTCTTAGCATCAAGGAGGATCCAGATGATAAGTAAGATTGAAAAAAAAACAGAACACTAGTTAGCGTAGTTACCTGGTCTTTGTCGAGTGGTTTATCGAGCAAACAACTACCATTCTGGTTCCAATCACCGCCATAGAAATGCCTTGGTGACTGCAAGCGCCAGAACTTAAGGGTCTTTGCCGGGACATGTCGTTGGATATAAGAAACCATATGTTGAACAACTACTTCAAAGCCTTGCAATATATCAAGAGGAGGATGTATCGGCTTTCCCTCTCGATAGAAGACAAGAGGTGTCTCTTTAGGAAACTTATCGTAACCCCACCTACAACCCAAAATACTCTGAAATGCTTAATGCTTCATTCACAAAGTTGTAAGAAAGACAATCCAATAGGTTAAGAAAATAACTTTTACCAATGGCCAGAGTTAAAAATGAGAACATCGTAGAAGCTAGTGACATTGATCCACTCATCAGCAGGAACATCAACATCTACTCTATAAGTTCCTTTAACTCCGTCTTCATCAGCTTCTCCAGAAGGTCTCGGCTGCGACCTTTATCATATCAGTTTAGAGGAACATAAGACTGGACAATTCAACATATAAAAAAATACACATTCTCATTCTACTCTAACAGTCTCAAACTCTGACATAAACAGGTTAATGAAATGTAGACTTTGATCTAATGGCATTGGCCAAAACACCCCAAGGAAGCTTTAATGGCATTCACACATAAAAATCGGTTTAGACAGTGTCTAATAGCCGTCTATGCAACAAATCAGACCTAAACGAAACAATTTGAACTTTAAAAATTCAAAAATCTGCCTAATTATCCCCTAGCGATATTTTTGAACACTGCAAACACCTACAAGCTTATAACTTGGCAAGCCTGGAACTTGCCAAGTTATAAGCTTGTTAATGAAATGTAGACTTGATCTAGTGGCATTGGCCAGAACACAACACCTCAAGGAAGCTTTAATGGCATTCACACATACAACCAAGTGTTCTAAAAATCAGTTTAGGCAGTATCTAATCATCCACCTATGCGGAAAATCAAACCTAAACAGATCAAGTCTACATTTCTTTAACAAGCCTGGAACTTGCCAAGTTATAAGCTTGTTACTTGTTAGGTGTTTGCAATGTTCAAAAAATCGCTAGGGGATAATTTGGCACAGAATTATTGATTAGGTGGAAGTCTAGACTTTTTCTGAACGCCTAGACAGATTTTCGACTTTTAAAAGTTTAAATTGTTTTGTTTAGGTTTGATTTTCCGCATAGGTGGATGATTAGATACTGCCTAAACTGATTTTTAGAACACTTGGTTGTATGTGTGAATGCCATTAAAGCTTCCTTGAGGTGTTGTGTTCTGGCCAATGCCACTAGATCAAGTCTACATTTCATTAACAAGCTTATAACTTGGCAAGTTCCAGGCTTGTTAAAGAAATGTAGACTTGATCTAATGCCATTAGCCAGAACACAACATCCCAAGGAAGCTTTAAAATCATTAACAAATACAACCCAGTGTTCTAAAAATCGGTTTAAGCAGTCTCTAGTCCTCCACTTATGCGGCAAATCAGACCTAAATGAAAACATTTTTTCTCAAACTAACTTTAAAATTTCGGTCTACACTTCCACCTAATCAACAATTCTCCTTCCCTAAGCTACCAAATTATCCCCTAACAAGCTTATAACTTGAGGGGCAAGCATTAAAACTCAACCCTTTCTCAAAAGCCCCAAACTTTTAATGAATAATAATAAAAAGATAATCTTTTTTACTTGTACTTAGCAAGAAGAACAGCTCTATGATACCCCACAGTAACATCAAACTCGGGAAAATAACCGCCACGCCAAGCTCTCTTCTTCTTCCACTTCACACCACTCTCATCCCCAACCCTAAGCACACACATCAACGCCACCACGAAATTCTCGTTCAACGAATCCCCAACGAACCCGATCCTCTTCCCCCTCATCTTCCTCAAGAACCGGGTCGGGTCGACCCGGCTCAATTCGCACGAATCGGGCGCCCACCTCCACGAATTGATGGCGCCCATGTTCTCGCGCTTGTTTCGCAGGCAGTTCCATGAGTTTCGGTGGAACGGGCAGGTCTCGTCGTAGAGGGGATTTGGGGGTTTAGGGTTGTGGATCCATCGGCCGGAGAAGAGATCGCACGGCGGAGGGGAGGTGGGACGGCGGAGGAGGGTTGTGGTGGAGTAGAGGAAGAGGAGGAGGAGGAGGGAGAGGAGGAGGAGACGTGGTGATCGGAGTTTTGATTGCATTGTTGTGTGGATTCGTCTGGATCCGACCAACTCCATCGGAGATCACACGGAGAAGACGAGAAGAGTGTTTCACTTGCGATCTGATGGTTAAACCGTTTTATTCCGGTTAAGATTATTTTTCGCCGTTTAAAATTCAATTCCGGTTTGTTGTGTTTTGGTTTCGATTGGTTATAATTTTCGGTTTATAATTGATTTCAATCAGAAGTTGTTCTTTTGGTTATCTACAGAATTAATCAATATTTATAAATCAGAAGCAGTTAATGGAAAAAATGACATTGTCGTAGTCAGGAATTGAATCCGTTATCTACATCTCTATTTTGATTTTCATTAACAATTAAACTGTTTAATGTTTTATCAAATATTTTAGCTAATATTTTACATTAACAAAAAAAAAAAACGAAAACCTATGCTTCTTTAGTTTTTCTTCAGGATTTAACTAAATCGAAAAGGAAAAAAAAATTGAATGAGAAATTAAAATTAAAAATTGAAAGAGGAATGGTTAAATAGTAACGGATGGTTAAGAATGTGAAGTACAAGTTTGTTTTTGGTTTTCGGTTTAAATTGATTTTAATCAGAAGTTTTTTTTTGTTACATAATTAGTTAGTTAGATTGAAAAAAAAGAGATATTTTGAAGAGAGGGTTGAAAAATTTCGGTTTTTAGTTTGGTTTTCGATTGGTTTTCAGTTTAAATTGATTTTGAATCAGAAGTTTGTTCTGTACAGAATTAATTAGTTTTTTTCTTTGGCAAACAGAGTTAATTAGTTAAATTGAGAAAAGAAGAGATATTTTGAAAGGAAACTGAAAAAATTAAATGGATATAGAAGTGGATAATAGTAATGGATGGTTGAAAAATGTTAAGTACAAGTTTGGTTGCTATAGAGTTTTTGTTTTGTTTTTGGCTTGGCTTTGGTTCGTTGTGTATAAGAAGCAGGACCCAGCTGGTTTAAACTCGTGGTTTACGATTTTTCCACTGCGACATTATTTTTTGTAAATAGTTAACAATTAAATGATAATTGCAATTTGCAGATCAAAACAGTGACTTAGGAGAATAATAATGATCCACTAATCCATATTCTCCTTCTCCTACTTCATTCCCATCTTCTCTCCTCTCAGCTTCATCTCCACCAATCTCATGTAAGTCAACATATATGTATGAATTGAATTGAATATTGTGTTAAAGTCCGTTACTTTTTCTGGGTTTAATCTGTAATCATAATCATCTGCATTGTCTTGCATATTCTTCATCACTTCTATGTGTGTTTTGGGGGTTAGATTTAGCTACAAGATCTCATCGACTTTTGTTCATCTCTTAAAAATCTCGTCTTTGAAAATGTTGTTTATCTTTTCTCTTTGTGTTAATTTTTTTTTTTTCTGAACAAACTTGCTTGATTCTCCTACTCTTTGGTCTTGGATGTGATTTTGTCTGAAAAGGAGGAAACTTTAGTTTTAGGACACTCTTCTTGCTTGTCATTTTTTCCATGGCTGATTCGTCATCATGTCTTTGTTGTTGTTGTTTCTACGACTTTGTATCTGAGATCAATGTTTGGATCAGTTTTGCAGAGATGGAGGCTGGTGCTGGTATAGGTTTGTACCCGCTGCATCGCTGCAAAACTATCTACTTAGTGAGTGATGTTTTATCTATGTTGGACTCTATGTAACAAAATTTGGGGGAATAGTATTGATTTAGTTTTCTTCAGGTGAGACATGCTCAAGGGATACACAATGTTGATGGGGACAAGAACTATAAGGCTTACATGTCTCAGGACTACTTTGATGCTGAGTTGACCCAACTTGGCTGGCAACAGGTTCCATGAAACACCTCTTTAGCTAATGTGAAAACACATCTAACTCTTCAGTTTTAGTTCCCTGAATAGTAGTTTCTATTGGTGACAGGTAGATAATTTGCGTAAGCATGTTCGTTCCAGTGGACTTCACAAGAAGATTGAGTTGGTCATCTCCTCTCCACTCATGAGGTACCCTTTATACATGTTTGATTGCAATGATCTTTAACTATTAATGGCATCTGGTTTTATCATGTGGCTGTTTATCTATTAGAGAAACTAGTATCAACGTGGTATTAACTTCGTCTTAGACTAATACATTGTGTGAGACTTGTGTCCTGCAATTCATTTGCACAATTTATATAGGAGAATGCAAACTTTCTTCTATGTTGAACAGAAAAGTTCCTTTAGATAAAACTTTGAAGATGTTATCATTGTTACCAATGTTTTTTTTAATATGTAGAACAATGCAAACTGCTGTTGGTGTTTTTGGTGGAGATGGCTACACGGATATGAGTGATGTACTACCTCTAATGGTAGCAAATGCAGGAAACAGCAAACGTCCAGCTATATCGAGTTCAAACTGCCCACCAATCATTACAGAGGAGTCTTGCAGAGAACATTTGGTATGTTATCTCTACGAGAAAAAATAAAAGAATTATTCTTAGCTTCATCAGGTTTTAACTTTTGTATTCCATTTATTGTGGACACAGGGAGTGCATCCATGCGACCAGAGAAGAAGCATCAGCGACTATCAGTTTCTTTTCCCTGCAGTTGATTTTTCACTGGCAAGTAAAAAAGTTTTAGAGTCTTAGCAGCTTACAACTTCACCTGGTGGCTCATATGCTCTTATAAAATGACTCCTCACATTTAAATTTGCCTTCAGATAGAAAGCGATGAAGACAACTTATGGAAGCCTGACGTTAGAGAAACAATCGAAGAACTTGCAGCTAGAGGCAAAAAATTCCTCAACTGGTACATTCTCTTTTCTACCTATAACATCCAATAGTATCAATCTCTCATAAAAGAAGATTGTTGCAGCTCTAAGGAGTTTGTATCTTTTTCATTCTTTTATCGTTCGTCTGTGTAAGATGTGAGTAATCTCCATTAGTCTTTAATGATTGGGTATGATGGATTTTTGTAGGCTATGGACAAGGAAAGAAAAAGAGATAGCGATTGTGACACACAGTGGTTTCTTGTTTCACACACTGAATGCTCTACAGAATGAATGTCATTCAGATGTTAAGAAGGAAATTTGCAGCCAGTAAGCTCCCCTAACCTTTTGTTAATGGAACTTTGTTTTCAATTTATTGTGTCTATAATATGCATTTTGATGTGCAGCTTTGCGAATTGTGAGCTACGTTCAATGGTCATCGTTGATAGAAGGTTTGGAATTTCACAATGTTGTTTTAAATAGAACATTTCATAATATAAGTCTAATGTTTTCTTTTCATGTTTAAAAATTGACAGTATGTTGGGATCAGACATATCAGTGACTGATTATCCAGGGAAGATTCCAAAGGGGATTGATCTTCCAAGTGATGCTGTTGTAGAGGATAAATGATTTCTTGTTTAAGCTTTTACATTTGTCTTCTCAACTTTCTATCTCTATCCCATGCCAAAACAAGCTTCTTTGTTGTATGCAACTCTCTTCTTATTATTAGTCTTCCGATTTGAAAGATGTTTTAAGATACTTTGTGACAAAACTTGATTTATCTTTGCTTAACTGGGGACTTGACTGGTAATATTCTTTGTAGCTTTTCTAAATGATGTAGATGAGAATGTTAGAAACGTTGACCTCTAGTCTACTGTTTGCTTTGTAGAGTGCTATAAGGACATGTTTAATGGAGATTTAGGGTTTTTAGAATGGATTTTTAATGCATGATTTAACATTTTTTCGTTTTTCTTTTTACCTTTTTTTTGGACTAAAAACCAGTTCTTATATCTGAAATTCTTAATTTTTCTTAGTTAAAAACAAAAGAAGGTATCTTAACCGAAATTAAGAACTCCACCTAACCAAAACTAAAAATCCTACCTAAAAATCCCCAATAATGATAATGTCTTAATAACATTAACTAAAACAAAAAACAATACACACAGTATACATCTCTTTTTAAATTTATCAATCATAAATATACAACACGTTTTGTGTAGCTGTTGCTACAAGACCACTTATTGCTTTTAATCTTTATAAAAAATGTCAGGTTAATTAACCTGAAAATACACACAATCAATGAAAATGTAACACAGATAAATGATCCCATTCAGAGAGAAGATCTTTGCCTCTTCACTTCTCTGACAAATCAGCATGGACTCTGTTTGTATTAAGAATATCGTGAAACACAACAGGTTTCTTGGTAACTGGGGCAAGTTCCTGAAATAACCACAAATAGAATACAAGATCCGGTTAAGAAACCTGACCCCAGAACCGGCTAATAGCATCAAGGGGCATCATACTTTCAAAGATAAAACTCTAACCGAAGCACATCATCAAAATTGATGGAACATTACAGATATAGATCATACAAGAAAAAGATGGATAGATAGAGAGAGAGAGAGAGAGAGAGAGAGAGAGAGAGAGAGAGAGAGAGAGAGAGAGAGAGAGAGAGAGAGAGAGAGAACCTCAACGGCAGCAGCTAAGCCAAGGACAGTAGCTTCAGCCCAAGGTCTTCCCATTATTTGTAATCCTATTGGCAACCCTTCCTTATCATACCCAACCTGCGTTTTTTTTTGTTTTTCTTCATATGTTACTCAAAAAGACGAAATGATTATTGCAAGAATAGGGTTCAAGTTCTGTGGATATGTACACGACATAGTTAGTAACCCAAAAAAATAAACATTGCTTACCGGTACAGATATGGCCGGGAAGCCAAGGAGATTTGCAGCTAAGACAAATCGCATTAAATAAGCTGGAAAGAAATAAACAATCACACTATTATTATCAGACTCCCAAGTAACACCAAAAGTAAAGAAGTTGAGAGAGTAACAAACCTGTCACTTGAAAATTGGTTTCTCCATTTTTGAGAGCGTCAAGGGGTATTACAGGAGCTGTCATACTGTTTGGACAAAAGTAAACATTTCACCAACAAGTAAGCGAAGTTCAATCAGTCATTCACATACAACTAACGTATTTGAAAACATTGGAATGTTTTTATGTACCCAGTTGTAGGGGTCACAATAACATCAACGTTTTTGAAGATATCCATGTGATACTCCATCAATCTTCGCCTGCAACAACAAGTTTTATACAAGCAAGCAGCCTCAATAGTGTCAATCATCTGCTCAGAGATATATTTACTAACATTTTACTTTGCCCCAAATCAGACTTGGCAGGTTTTCTAGTTTGAACATATTGTGTGATATCTACTACTAAATCAATTCAGGTCATGGATCCTCTTAGCAAAGACTTAAGCATGTAAACACTTTAGACATTCATGCGATTGAAGGCAAAATTGGGTTTACACTTGTTGGTCGTCGTTTACCTTATACATTGAGCAGAAATATAATCTGCAGCAGAAAATGACCGGAAGATGGCAAAGCTGGTACGAGTATCATAAGATAATTTTGAGTTTTTCCTGAAACGTACGACAGTGAAGAGAATGGTTACTAGACCAACGTTCAACTTTGTTTTATAAGTGATAGTAATCAAAGAGGTTTTTAGAGGTGTTACAGCTACTGAAATCAGAGAAAGTGTCAAGACAACATACCCAGCCTCACAGTAAGGAGTAAGAGAACGCAGTGCCGGAGCTCCGATCGACACAACATGAGCTGCACGCATCTCTTCTAGTTCAGGAACCACTATTTCCACTACCTGCCAGAGTTACCATATAGAGATTGTAGCTGAAAGAAGATAATTGATAGACGCAATGTATAATGAATGAGAGAAATCTATTCAAATGATCAGCTTACTTCGCAACCATGATTGTTTGATAGGAGCTTAAGGATGTCTTCGCATTTATCAGAGATTTCACTTGAATTAACATCATTAAACCACTGCATGAATAAAAAACAATGCACTAGATATACCACTGAAATAACAGAATCTAACTCAGGTAAACTTAACAGGGATACAAAATTCACCGTTGTGTATTTTCCTAGTCGGAGAGATCCTATAGCATTGCCTCCGTTGTGAGACATTAACTTCGGGAAACAGGGTGGCGTCTACAGAAAAAAAATCAAAGACCAAAACATTTTGAAGGATTATTTGCCATGGTCAAATGAATACACGGCAAACAATGACAATCACATTTCGAAGTGCTTGAAACTTTATTTTACTATTTTGATCATTTTTTTCTCTGAAATCCTGTGGCTCCAAAGTATTAGAGAATATGATGTCCTTCTAGTAACAGGAGATGTGTATAATGAGACACTTCACAAACGACTATCTGTTGTACTTTTTCATGAAGTCTTTGTCAGAATGCTCTTTAGAATTTATTATGGCTGGAAAAATTACCGGTTTTAAGTCAAGTCTATCAGCAGATGAAGAACCCAAGATTGCTGCATACCTGAGAACAAACACATAGACAGATAAGCCAAAATCTAGGTCTATCCAAAAATGTTGAATGCTTTACAAAGATGTCACTGATTGAAAGGTTGATTGAAACACCTTAATCATTCACTAGGATAATCCTAGGCTCAACAAGAAAAAACTTACACCAAGAGCGAATCTTCCACAGATGAAGTAAGTGGACCAATAATTTCCACTGTTCCACCTTCACATAATGACCTGATCAAACAGAAATCATATGCCATACACATTAGTTCACATTTTGTTTTAACATGCCAACACGCCAGATCGTTTTACTAGTGCTAATGGTTTTCTGTTAAGACTCTTACCCTGCCATATCTGTCCGACCATATGTTGTTTTCAGTCCCGTTATACCACAAAGCGATGCAGGGATGCGAACAGAACCTGCATACCCAGACGGGAGTAAACATACAACGCGTATCATAGGTCAGATCAAAATAACTTCGATACCTCCACCATCTGTTCCTAGAGCAGCCGAACATATTCCAGAGGCAACAATAGCTGCTGAACCTGAGGAAGATCCGCCTGTGTATCTTTCAGGTGCGTGTGGGTTTCTTGTGGTTCTGCAATGAAATAAGAAAGAGAGCAAACACATGAAAAAGTGGAGTGAACTAAAGATGTAATAAACACATCGAAGTAAGTAGTATCAAGTAACAAAGCAGTTTTTTTTTATCTACCCTCAAGACACACTAAACTCTTCAAACAAGTAAGGTTTGTGTTCTCTGCTGCTTTGCTTACCCGTAACTCGAATTGTTCCCTGTTGTCCCCATGCCTATCTCATGCATATTTGCTTTGCCAATTAAGATTGCACCACAACTGCGAAGTCTTGAAACAACTACTGAATCATTCTCCACAGAACGAGTTTCGTGCAGCCATGTTGTTCCACCTATCATGGAAAACCTTATGACAGGTCTGTTGTATCTGGAAGTGTTTTAAAATAAAATGTAAGAATGACATACTCACCCTTTGTAGTATGGGGAAAACAATCAATATCGTCCTTGATTGTCACAAAAATTCCATCTAAAATGGATATTGGCTTTCCTACACAACTCACACTCAACATGATCAATACACATCTCAGCGATCACATCTAAAAACTCACTGAAGCTGACAATTAAAGCAGATTTGAAACAACAAGCTGCTGCAGTGATTGTCTGAATCTAATACTAGAAATACATCTCAAAGTCTGCAATATTACCTTCTTCAAACCTCTGAGTAGAAGCTTCAGCTTGCTTTCTGACTTCACTGGGGTCAAAGGTAATCAATAATGGTGTTGGAGACTTGTCATACTTAAACTCCTCTATGATTGAGATTATTTGTTCTGCTACCTAACAACCAGCAACAAGGTTCTTTGTTTATTATGCCAAAATAAAGAGAGTAAAAAAACTGAAAATAAAGAGAGTAAAATAACTAACCACAGATGGAGCTGTCAGCTTAGATCTATAAGCAAATGCGTAATCACGTATCTTCCAGTAACGAAAGGATGAACTCGGATCTGTTTCGAAGCTAAGAGAAGGATCATATTCAGGAAGACACTTCAAGGCTATTTCCAATCTATCTACAGGGCTTTCATCTTCGCCAACCATGACAACATCATGCTCCGGTTCTAAGTTCAAAAAGATGATACACACAGATATTCATTTCGGTTCATGTAATAATTTTTTTTTTTTTTGAATGAATGTTAAATTTATTCATCAAAAAACCCCTTATTACATCAAGTGCACCCTCTTTATATATTAGAGATCTCAAGTGCTACTACTTAGACTATTTCAGATCTTATAAAACATTTACAATCTCGTAGAAAACCAAAGTTATATAAGAACCTCCTGCCCATCTCTTATCTCCCTTACCAACAAGTAGACTCAATTTATTAATGTAATAATTACCAATTGAAGGAAGTTGACCCAAACTATCCATGTAAGTTTACAACATATGATTGATATACGAAATGATAGATAGAAAGGACAAGGAAATATACTTTGAGGAGGGAAGTCTGGTCTGTACATGGGCTCTTCTGGAATCACAGTGTTCCGAAACATCTGTGCTCACAACACGGAAAACCACACAACAATGACGACCAAAAACATAGGCATGTGATGATAATAAAGTCAATCAGATGTCAAAAACTGACCTTAGTCATGCCATTTTTCTTCTTCAATGAGTCAACAATCGATGAGCCAATAAATGGCGTTTCAAGTATATTAACGAACAACTTGAACACAAAGCCAGTCAAATGAGGCGCTGCAAAAAAATCCACAGAAACTAATTCTTAAAGAACTAATCCTTTCATTTTCATGTATATATTGAACTTAGTTAAATCAAAATCAAGCATTATTGTAAGAAACGAACCTTTGATGTCTCCTTCTTTGTATTTAACAGTTGAAACATCAACTTCCTTCGCTGGTTTCATGACCTTATACTTCCCCATTCTACAAGCAACAAAATAAAGTCCGATTAATCTAACAAAATCATCATCGGTTTCGTGATTATCAAGTTAGAACCTAAGAGAATCGGTGAATTCAAGCAATCAAACGAAGGAAGTTAAAGAGCAATCAGCTCCTCCAGCTGATTCACAAAGGGAGAATTGAGATTGAGAAGTTACCTGAGACGGTGATCTGAATCGGCGGAGGATTGGGTGATGAAGCTTACTACCACGAACTAGCTTTGACGCGGATTTGAAGAAGCTGTTGGGGATGAGCGGTGAAGTTGTTGAGAACTTGAATGCTCGCTGGCACTTATATTATATCTGATTTTGGATTGTTTTGATTTTGAACTTGTCTCGATCGTTGAAACGAGATTCTCAATTTACAAAACGATCCACTTATCCTATTCAAATAGATTTTTTGGCCTTTTTAGAAAATATAATAGATTAGGACATAAAAAATTATTATCGTAAGAGCATCTCGTGTTTTTCATTTTCTATTTTTTACTTTATTTTTTTACTGATACGCCATCTTTTTCTTCACTTTTTCAAATTTTGAAGAACTGAATAGTATTGAAAAAAATACTATTAAATTCTTCATTTCTGTTTACAAACTAATCTTTAACTTTAACTTATTACTATCATTTTGTACTTTAATAAACCGAAGTGTTAATGCCATCCTATTGATTTCACAGTTTATATTATTAATTTCATCTAATTAAATGTTAATAACAAAGAACATTAAAATAATTAGTTTCCGAGAATTTTATGTTTGATTTAGAATAAATTTTAGAATAAAATAACCTCACTTTTCATTTCAAAATACTTTGGTCAGTCACTTAATATTCATATGTATTTAATATTTCTTCATCAAATTTAAACATACAACGAATATTTAATACTTTGGTCAGTCACTTAATATTCATATGTATTTAATATTTCTTCATCAAATTTAAAAATATCTTTGTTTATTTATGTGTAATACTTGTATCATATAATAATTTTAAACTTATAATAAATAGTAATTGAGTCAGATTACTATTAAACAAAATAAATGGGTAGAATTAGTTGATTTGAAAAAGTATAAAATGTTATTAATAATTAATTTTAAAATGATGATAGAATACAATTAGAATAATCTTTTTTTGAAGAAATAAATGAAGTATACTATTGGAGACCATGTTACTTCATTTTTTTAAAGAACTTCAAATTTTGAAGAAAAAAATGAAATTAACCTTTGGAGATGCTCTAAGAATATATTTTAAAGTTTAAAATTGAAAAAAATAGATTTTATTAAAATATATTTATACATTTAAGGTTAAGTGAACAAGATTTACAGTTTAGATTAGGAAAAATAGAGTTTAATGTCTTTGAATTGAAGTTCGGAATTTAATACTTAAGGTATAAAATTTAAAATAATAATTTTCAAATATTTTTGAAAAATAACTGAGGAAATTTTTTTGAAAATATAAATAAAAAAATAGTCAAATATTTTGGAGCTAAGAATCTTATTTTCTAATATTTATTTATTTCATATAGCTATAGAACATGAATATAATTGTCGTTTACCTATTTAATGAAATCTATTCTGATTGCTTCTTTAATGTGTTCTTTTGGTCACAAAAACATTTCTAAATCCATTTAAAAGATTGGTCCAATTAAAAAAAAAGTAAAGTGGTTTTGCAGTTTGTGATAAATTATTGTTTAGTTAAATTTAACTGGATTAGAATTTTGTATAGTCACTAGTAAAAGTTAAGATTTATATGTTACTGACAACATTGATTGTTGACATTGAATGGTTGAGATTGTGACTTTTTACATTTTTTGTACATTTATTACAAACCTGATTTTTCTTTGTAGTACATCTTATTCATCTGTGAGAATTTCTACCATTTGTTATTGTAAAAAGTTGCACATACCCTTCTTATATCTAGTTTTTTCAACAAACTCAAAATATCTATAACTGCATGATAAAACTAAATTAGCATGTATTGAACAAATAGAAAGGTAAACTGATGTTAGGAGTTTTCAAGACTTCTAAAACAAATGATGTAGTATAAAAGATTGTCAAACCAGTTCTGAGGGATTTAAAAGCATCGAGAATGCAAGTACTATTTTAATCTAAATGCGATTATGTGATTGATTGGGTTTTAAGGTTAACTATAGCTAAAATGCAATAAAAGATATAACTTTGGCAATGAAGATAAAGGAGAACTCATGGGTATAGGGAATTTGACCTTGGGTGATCAAGTTTCGATCTAAGGATGGCAAGCGATCAATTAAACTGTTTACCTTAGGCCTAGATACGATTCTAAACAAGCTCTATTTCTAGATGAATGTTCATTTACTACCATAACTCAAGCATCAAATGTCTTTGGTTGAATATTATGAAAGTAATCATTAGGAATAGATCTATTAGCCATCTTAACACCTTTAACAACAAGTGTCCCAGGTAAAGACTGTTAAAAGCTTAGGAGAGTTGACTCAGACATTTCATCGAACACTTGTGAGTGGGAAATGTCTAGAGATCAACTTTTGAGTGATCAATTCAAAAGAGGCATTATGGTTACTCTAATAAGCAAGGAACAAGAGAAATCTAACACTAAAACACCCTAAATCTAACCTAATCACCTTTAATCTCTCTAACCCATGAATTCAAAAGGTGATTACTCACTAATCTCCATGATTCCTCTTAAACATATATTGGATTTCAGATTAATCATGTAAAGAAATAGATAAGAAATCAACAAGAACACAATATGAAAGCAATGAAATCTCAATCCAAAAGAAGTTTTTCTTCAAGAACAAAAGATAATATGCCTCTGGAGGCTTACAACGTAGTTTTAATTAGGTTTCTGAAACTCAAAACATAAAAAAATGAAAAATTGCAAAAAGGTCCCTGAAACAAGTTTTTCGTCACATAAAAGACGCACAGCGGGGTCACAACCCCGCTGCTAAGACCCCGCTCCGGAGATCACAGCGGTGTCACAACCCCGCTGCCAAGGGCCGCTGTGAAAGCTCTCTTATTCTTTCGGAAAAGGCAAGCGGCCCCCTAGCCCCGCTGCATGGGTCCGTTGTGGTCTGGGCCGACACCCTGACTCCGCCCCGCGACCCCACTCCGGCTGATGTTGCGCGCAGCAACCTCTTGACTCCGCTGTGGCTGCTCTGGCTCGCCAAATGACATCTTTGCACTCTCTTTTGGCACATAATTGATCTCAAATATCTCCAAGAACTCCATAGCATGTTCCACCACCTGACAAATGAATGCAAAATGCAACCTAAGAATGCTTAAATCTAATATATATGCTCAACATGAACAAGAATGCAAGGTTAAAACCAAGTAAATATGCAACATATCATAAACAATTTGGATGGATATTTGCTAACGTTTTTCAAGGGTGAGATATTTTATTATCTTCTTATCCATAAGAAAGTGCATGTTAGTCGTTGAAATCTTTTTTCGAATTTGAATTTCTTTAAATAACACTCTTCATAAACTTCTTTCTTGTGTTCTTTATTTAGTCATACTTTAAACCTCATTAATGAACCAATATACACTAACATCCTACATAAAGAAGTCAGCCAAATGATAATGAAACTATAACACTTTCACAGTTTCAGATTGAACATGCATTTACCTTGATAAAGATGTCACCATTTTCTGCCTTTAGTGCATGCAAAATCTTCTTATATTTTATCAGTTCACAACCCAATCGGTAACAATGAAATTTTAACAGTGTCACCTTTACTATCATCACATTTATCGTAGGTTGTGTACAACATTATCCTTGATCATCCATGGCCTCTGATTTTTCAGTATTTCCCTTTAAATCTCGATACCAAGGCACCATAGCCTCCATTGTTTCATATTTGAGTTGACACATCATATTTGCAATAACATCTTGTGGGTTATATTGTGGTATGAAAGTGATATACCATGAATTAATACCTTTTGCTTCATTCAATAAGACCAAAGGAATAATTGGAGCATAACTAACAAAAAAGTTAAGCTAAATTAGATGTCTTAAACCAATTAAGCAAACAATATTTCTGTTTGGGTATGAATTACCAAGTTGGTTCAAAATATCGCCTATATTCCCAATTGAAACAAAGTTGAGCACTATCAGCTTTGGGAAACAAGATTTTTACCACTGGTTTGGGCTTAGTATGCAACTATCTCACATTTATTGCATCTTTTCCTCTTTTGAAACAACAATCATGTAGATCATCATCATAAAATAAACTTTTTTTGAACAAACATAAAATAAAATTTCTAATTCAAAATACCATAAAACAAGTTTTATTGAGTATTTAAGTCGAATTCAGTTTGGTTTGAATTCAGTTTTATCTGCTGGGTTCGGTTCAGTTTATTTGCCATTTTTGGCTGAAATGAATTGGTTTCTTGCTAGAAACATATTTGCCATGATTTGGTTGGCTGACTTGATCAACCAAACATTACGAGGCACGATTTGATCTACTATTGACATGACTATTAAATTATAGTTGTCTGGATATATTAATTTAAACAATACATTGGGGTGAAAAATATCAAGGTCATGTTCACATGAACAATATGTAAACTGGAATAGATATTAATTATCACGGCTTGTACCATGCTTTGTATTTTATCATGAACATATAGTTAATAAGAAAACAGTTACTATCATGATTACATCTTACCCATGCTCATGCAATACGTCTAATATAAGTTAAAATAATCATAAAAATTTAATCAGCTATGATAAGCTGCAGCTTGTCAATAAACTATAGTTGAATAAGAACAAAATTGAGAAAGTGAATACACAGTCACAGTATTAAACTATCTTCTTTAGTTGGATAGATGTTACTTTTCTTCCTTCTATAACCGTGTAGTTAAACCTTAAAACATGGCTTAATTAGTTGAAGAAAGCTAGTGCTAAACTTGACTAAAAAGCCGTCATGTAACATGCTAATAAAAAGCTGACCTTCCTCAACATCCAAGTATCAAAACACTAGTAGAAGGCTAGAAGCTGACCCCACCATAAATGTTCCGAAAAGTCATATTAATCCATGAAAAAAAGATTCAGGTAACGTCACAGACCCGTCACACAACCTCATCATCACCGCCTGAAACTGAAAAAAAAAAAAATCTGACAAAACCACGTGTAACAGACCAATAAGTTCACACACAAAGGTTCTGTCCTAAAACATTTTCCAACATCCATGAATTAAGACAGAGAAACAACAGAACACAATCAGTTTCATGGAGAAGTTCTCTTACAACTCGTATCCAGATTCAACAGACTCATCTCCAAGATCCCGCGAGATAGACTTCGACAACGCGCCGCCATGGGATGATCATCAGACACAGACACAGAGCAGCAGCTACAAGGTGAAGTTCATGTGCAGCTACAACGGCAAGATCCAGCCACGTCCTCACGATAACCAGCTCACCTACGTTAACGGAGAGACCAAGATTCTCTCCGTTGATCGCGGGATCAGATTCCCCCTCTTAGCTTCCAAACTCTCCGCTGTCTGCGGCGGCGACGGAGGAGGAGTAGTAGGAGGAGGAGGAGACGTGTTGTTCAAGTATCAGCTTCCTGGAGAAGACCTAGACGCGTTGATCTCAGTTACTAACGAAGATGATCTCGAGCACATGATGCACGAGTACGATCGGCTGCTTCGTGTCTCGTCTAAGCCAGCGAGGATGCGTCTCTTCATCTTCCCTTCGGTTTCTTCTTCCTCCGGAGGGTTTGGATCCGAGGGTTCGGATCGTGATCGGTTTGTTGAGGCTTTGAATACTGTTCGTAGTAGGCCTGAATCGGAGAAATCTGTAACCGCTTCTACTGATTTTTTGTTTGAATTGGAGAAAGTTGTATCATCTCCTCCGCCACCGTCGCCGTCACCACCGGTACCGGCGGTAATTCAACCGGAGTTTCAGAGGATGCAAGAGCAGCAACAGCAAGAAGCTGTTTATAGAAGGAAGAGTGAAGACGCCGGAGGTTACTTCTCTTCCCCGCCGTACGCAGCCGCTCAAAATCCAACTCCGCCACCGCCACCGCAGCAGCCGACGATTCCTTTAAGTAATCAACAAGCTACTCCAATGATGTTCTGGCAAGGAAACCATCATAATAATAATAATAATAATAATAATAATAATAATAATTCGCAACGATTGTTTCCAACAACTGCTCCGGGACTCGGATTATCGGAGCAGCCAGTGTACATGATTCCATCTCCATCTCCATCTCCAACTCCACATCCGGGAAGTGTTTACCACGCGCCAACGCAACATCAAGGCGTCATGAGACCAGTCGTTACAGGACAAGTAAACCAAGGGGGTTACTATCCTTACATGGCTCAGCCACAAGTAGGAGTAGCAAAGGGACAACAACAACAACAACCTCCTATGTCTTTTGCCTCTGGTCCTACTCCTTCCCAACAGCAATACTCAGCCGTTTCACCGACACAGCAAGTGGTGGGAATAGCAGATACAAGGGCGTATACTCAGGTGACTTACGCTGGAGGAATGGGGAAACAAGTGTACTACACGGAAGCACCACCTCTACAACAGTATCATGGAATTGGTTTACCTGTGACTGGTGGTATGAGTGAATTGAGAACCGGACCGGATGGGAAGCTTGTTGCTATGAACATGGCACCAAAAGTTTCATCACAGAATTCAGATTCGGCTGTGTGATGATGAGGTAAAAATTATGAGGTTTTAATGTTTAAATCATTTCAATCATTATCACCATATGTATATTGTAATTGAGAGATTACTTTGGTATCTGAATGTCTCATAAATAATGTCTTTTCTATATCATGCTATGATCTTTGATTCTGCAATTTCTGTCAACTTCTTGTCTTTGTTTTTCATGAACACTGAATCTTGTGCATTTTGCCTGCATCTTTTTCAAGCTTTTGAGCCCCTTTTCACCTTTTGTTTTTGCTTATGTTAACAAGATTAGGTTATCTGATATTAAATTAGTCTGATTGAACTTTGTAAATTAAATATATGGATTGTTATACACGAGAACTGATGTCATTTCTTGTGGAAGATCGACATCTGAACCTCAATAATTGTACTAACTAGTTGCATATTCCCCGCGCAAGCGCGGGGCCAGGATCATTATGTTTACGTGTATTTTTTTCGATTGTTGGTTTAGTGGATTCTTCTAATGACACCAATTAATAATGAAATGGAAAATTTCATGTTTTTATATCGTATGTCAAAACTTGATATAATTCTATATTTATAGTATTTATATTTGTATTAAACGATTTATCAATATGAAAATAACCTTAATTAAGATAATATTCGTTGTTTAAATTTCATTAGATAGATTTTTATATATGGTTTTTTGTAAGTTTCGGTTTTGTTCATAAATGATGTGGCATTTTTATCTACGGAGTCATCGACTGTGAGAATTCATTCGCCGAAGTCTGGAGTCGATGGTA